AATAACAATAACAACAACAGTATTAACAACTGTAACCATACTTAAGATTAATGTGATAGTGATGCCAATAACAGGCTCCGTCACCCTCGTTTGCCCCGCTCGCTCTGCCGCTCAGGTCTGCATTGGCATACCATGAGAAAGTCCATGCTACAAGCCCATCCATTGGCCAGTGCATGCATGCCCAAACCATGACACAGCCAGGTACTGACGGGGTTCAAGAGTCTAGTGTGTTCCAATGGTGTACATGTCTGCAGTTGAGCAGTGCAGCATCTCGGGTTCGTAGTGCTTTAGGTGGTAGCATGATCTCTGCATGCCAATGGCCCCTTTCGTTGGAAGTCAAGTGGCGCGCGCTGTATGGCAGCCTTCTTTTGGCGCTTCTGCCTGTGTGCGGGGCACCTTGCATCTGGGATGGTTTGATCTCCTTCCGAGGTGTTGTGAGCACTTGGCTTGGGCTTTGCCTCGGAATCTTAGATCCCCAATACCTAACCTTTAAACTTTCGGGTTTCTTATAGTTTAGTAGGAATGGGAAAGTTGAACCTTATACTTCTGTCGCTTATTGGGGTAGTAAGGAATCGTGCATGTCCCCGGCTCCTCGGCCGGAAGGCGCGGCTCCTGGAGATGCACGGTCGTGCTTTGCGGTCTGGTCACATTTCTCACTACTTGTCTCGCAGGCTTTCCATGTGTGACCTGGGCCTTTCCGTCGCACCTGTCTGACGATCAATTTGGTCGTGTTTTCCTTCCCGACCAGCAGGAGACCCCTACGTTCGTCCTGCTATCGTTGATATGGACGTGCTGCATGCTGAGAGAACATCCGCGATCTACTTGCACACACGATGCAAAATGGTGCATGTTCGCATTCTGGCTTGGGACGGCAGCAACGCAGGTAGGGGAGATATTTTTCGCCTTTGAGCTGTGCCAAGCCCAACAAGGAATCCACAACTTTGGCGACGGAGTGCACTGTGTTGCACTTGGCTGGACTCTGTATTTATTGCAGATGCGAATGATGGGAATCCAGTCTCGCATGTCGCAGACATCTCGTTTGACTTCAGGATCTCATATATGGATACTCGTCATGTGCGGCAGCTGGCTTGTAGGACACATGTATTCACTAGTGGATTTTTGGCTCCGTTTTTGGCTCGTCGTCGTCAGCGTGTCAGTGCTGTGTATTGTCTGGGTGGCCTATACGGCGCTGATATGCAGGAGCTTGTCGCTGGACTTGAGCCTTTTACTGCAGGAGACAAGACGAGTCCGAGGGCCTCCAAGGAAACATGCTATCTGGGCCGCCAAAGTTGTTGGCGTGGAGATCCTGGTGTGTGCAATACTGGGGATCGCCATGTGTTGCCATGGCATCGCCTCTGGCGTGGCCGTGTATTTGATTGCACGGTGGCCGCGTGCTCTGTCAGATGAAGACGTCAGGCCGAGTATGCAGTGGAGTGATCTTGGTCTTGGCGCCGCCAACGCAAACTGGGTGGTGAATGCACTGGGCTTGGGTCTTCTGTCTGGGATTCTATGGCAAGTGCAGGCTCCAAGCGATGACCCACAGCCTGAGCGCGGACTCACACGAGGACTGGTCTCAATGGCGAGCTTGCTGAGCCCCAGCGAAAAGGATGTCTACGACCAGGTGGTGAAGCAGCTCGGAAACCGCGGCTTTCGCCTCGGCGAGCTGCTCAGCTTCTGGGATCGACTTTCCGATGGTCGAATGATGCCGGGCTTCGACCCCGGGCGCTCCTTGACCAATGATGTGGTTCGAAGGGCCATCATCCCGGAATCTCGAGTTGGAGATGTCGGCTGTGCCCTGGCAAACCTGTGGTCTAGCACCGAGACGAAGCCGCAAGTCATGGTCACGCACAACTGGTCCAATGGTTTCGGAAGTCTGGTGGCGGCAATCCTGGCGGATGCTTTGGGACAGGCTTCCTTTCAGGATGTTGCGGCCCAGATTGCCACAGCATCAGGCCGTGAACAAGTCCGGGCCAAGTTAGGCCGCAAGCTGGAGACGACCTACTGGGTGTGTGCGTTCTGCATCAACCAGCATGCGAGTATTTGTGCTGGCTTCGGGCCCGAACCGCCCCAGGATGCGCCCGAGTGGGCCGCTTGGGACAGGAGGCGGTATGACTCAGTCACCGGTGAAAAGTTCGTGCTTTGCAACTGCCAAGTAGAGAAGGTGTTAAGCCACACGGATGCAAGGTGCGAACTCAACAAGTTCGACGACATGATGACGCACCTTGCGCTTGAGGTGGCGGGCTTCACACAACTCATCGTCGTCGATGATGCCTTCGATGTGCTTTACCGTGCTTGGTGTGTTGCAGAGATATTCGAGGCAAGCGTGCTGGGCATGACATCTCGAATACAGATTCGATCGCAAGCAGCTGTAGATCAGAATTACGACAGGCTCGCGGTGTTAGATGTCAGACAATGCACCGCATCGTCTCAAGCTGACAAGGACATGATCATGGCGAAGATCTCAGATGTGGAAGTTTTCAACTGGAGAATCCAGCAGCTTGTCTTCGGTGAAGATATGGGCTTGTTTGCACAGTGGGTGGATGGAAATGAGCGTTCCCGGCAAGTCGGAAGAATCGTGCGGCGCTGTGCGATGCAGGCAGAGAGCAGCAACCACAGACCTGCAAGCACATCTTGCGTATGCTGCACTTCCCTTCGCTTCCTCACGTCTCCCGACGGCGACTCTGATGAATCCTCCGGAGATTCTCCGGCATCAGAGAGTTCGGACTCGTGGTCAAGCAGCAGCTGAACAAGGGCCGTGTCAGCCGGAGCCAAAGGCTTTAAGGGTCTAGGGTTTGCCTATAGTCTCCATTGTAGTTCCTTTTTTTGGTTTAACCAATTTTATATCAAGGGCCTTAAAAGGTAACCCCAAAAAGGAACTACAATGGAGACTATAGGTAGTAATTAGAATAGACAATGCATGTTTCTTCCGTATATAGATCTAGTGGCCGCACCTGTAACTGCATCCCTCAGTTCCTCTTGAGAAGGCTCTGCCCTCAGGTGTGGTCCGGCCGGCATACAGCTCGAGTCCGCGCTCAAAAAGCAATTAGAATAGAGGTTTTGGGGTATATTGTACCAGAACTACAATAGGTTGTGGATCGGCGATCATCCAACATTTGACCATCCTTTGCGTCTTCCTTCGCCTGCGCATTGCCGCACGCACGTGTATAGTTGGGTGCTCACTCTTCCTCAAAGGGGTTTTCCTATTTTGCCGCGCAGGGCTATAGACTCGATCGATAGGAGTCAGTGGCTGAACTCGTGTAGATGTGTCAAGGGGGCGGATTCAGCCTGGAGGGTGCCTTTTGTGTTGTAGTCAAGTCGAACTTGTAGAAGTTGCGGCGCCGATAATGCTGGCGCAGTCTGACTATGCAATATGATGCACAGACGGGCCAAGGCAACAGAGAACATAATTTTCGGCTTACGCTGTTATGTATGATTGCATAGTTCTACAATTACAACCCATGCACGGCCACGCATGTCTACCTGCAAGCCCGCTCTGTGGCCATGTAAGTGGCAACTTGTTAGCTCACTTCCGCCTTTCACCGCACGTCGGAGTCGCAGCTCAACCTATACCTTAGCCAACTAAGACCTACTTTTCCGTAGGGTTTCCATAAATTCCACATTAGGGTTTATTGCAAGAACCTACTACCGAAAAAGTTGGACATGGTGGCCCAACCTATGATTTCGCAGAACACTACTTCGCAGGAGGTCCGACCTGCTAGGTCCTGTAGAGTCGCAATTAGCGTTGCCTGACCGGGCGATGCTTCCGTGCCCTGGTGACTGTTCAACACCCTGTAAGCATTGTATCAATGAAACCCCATCCCCATGCAACCCAAAATCTCACAACATGTCGCTAGTCTAGAGGCCGGAAGAATTACCAGTGTTGTTCCTAGGTTTCCTTGTTATGATTCTACTAGAGTGCACAGCAAAACTCGAGCCTAACTACTATGCGGCCTCCAACAGTTACCTATGCTATTTTAGGGGTTCCTTTTTATAGTTAAAGCATAATCGGCCTCAAAACCCTGCTCTAATCACTAAGGCCCCTGTATTACCCATCGGCCCCAAAGTAAGTCGTTTTGGGGATTACCTCATAGAAATCGAAATATGAACCCTTAAAAGGAACTACTATGGGGCCTATGGGATGCACTTTGTTAGATCCTTGGGGAGGCCCTGGAATCCACCTTGGGTGCCTTGTCCGCCCTGGCCGTCGCAGCGCTGGCGGGCGTGGCCAGATGGCTGCCGACCAATCTGAAGGATCCCAACAAGGGCCTACGGTTTAGAAAATTGAAGGACCGCAAAGAATTTAGGGTTGCGCTTCAGAGAGACCTCGTTCAAAAGGGCTGCGTAGTAGAATATAGGGTTCCATCGTCGGAATTGCTGTCCCCGAAAAGGGCCTACGGTTTAGGGCTTCCTAGAAGAATATAGGGTTTCTATCGTAGGAACTACTCTCATTATGGTCTGGGTAAGCATCACCCACAAAAAAGTGACCTTTGGATCACGATGGAAGGCGTGAAGGGCTATTCAGTACCCCAGTCCTATTATTTGGGGCCCTACCATACACTTCCTTCTTAGGGGCACCATGAGGGTTCATATGCCGCTCTGGTCCTTCGTTGAGGGGTTGCTGTTTCGGGTTTAGTGCTGGACGAGGCTGACACTTTGAAGAAATGTTAAACTGCAGTGCGACTGAAGTGACCAAAAAAACAAATCGCAAAAGAGGAGCACTGATAGTTGGGTGCAACCGTATCTTTCTGTTGGTGGCTTGTGACAAACGTTTGAGCTGCAGGGTCTTCGTTGTAATTCCATCATATCTTGTGTAGCGTTTCATACGGTTTGTCAATGGCACCATAGGTTCTTGCCGGCTCCCCTCCCCCTCGCCCTCCCTCAACTCTAAACTCTAAACGCACTAAACCCCTAAACCCTAAACTCCTCCACGGGCTCTAGAACCCAGTGTGCAGGTCATCCTCGGCGTGAATGTGGGGCTCTCCATCCTGGGCTACATCGCCATGGCCTCCATCTCCAGAACGCTGGGTGACACCTTCATCAAGGCGAGTGCCTCAACTTGGGCCCCGTAACTATACACCCTAAACACGCGCAAATCGAGAAGTCTACCAGGTCGAAACACCGTACTAGTGTTCTTCGGAATCAATTTGTTCATCTTGTTGTAAGAAAAGTTAAGGGGCTACGGTGAAGATTTGCCACAACGGCTAGAACAATTATCGTTGTAAAGGTGCATAAGCCTAAACCCCAAACCGTTTACCATAAACCCAAAGCCCTAAATCCTAAACCCCAACTTCAAGACCTACAGTTCAACCCTAGACAATACAACCCAAGCCCAATTCCCACCATGGTCGTCGTTCAAGGGGTCCTTTCAATGATTTCCTCGTGGGTCCAAGGGCTTTTCTAACGGCCACAATTAGGGCACCTCAGGCGAATTTGCGCGGAATCGATCTCAATAAGCAGACAACGAAGCGCGATGCCGATGGCAACTTGGTAAGACCCATCGAAGGCATTCCTATTCCAGAATCTCAGGGAACGATAGCAGCAGCCGTGCCTCGATGTTGAGTTGAGCATGCTTTCATTGTCCGTGACTTTTCGGTGAATAGATGCTTTGAGCCGCTGTTCTTAAATGGTCCCTGCGAAAAACCATGCCAAGGTGTACATCCTCTTGCTGTCCGTTTTCATTCCCTTTGCCTTCGCAAGAGAAAATCTAGAGTTGTTTCCTCACAATGAAATGGCAGAGTACTTGGCCGCGGTGCTCACCATCACCTTTGCTTCTTTCATGGGCTTCGCGGATGATGTGCTAGACCTCCGATGGAGATACAAAATCCCATTACCTTTTCTGGCCACACTTCCATTGCTGCTAGTTTACTATGCCAATGGAAACGAGACTGGCGTTATGGTTCCAAACCAGCTGCGCTGGCTGTTGGGCGATGCAATTGATTTAGGAGTGTTCTTCTATGTTTTCCTTTTGATGCTTGCAGTTTTCTCTACCCATGCCATCAACATCTATGCTGGTGTGAATGGGTTGGAGGTAGGCCAAGCGGTGGTCATTGCCGGATCTGTTTTGCTCTTGAACATCATCCAGCTGCACCGCATCCCGGACCAGTACAAGAACTATAGGGATAGTCACGTGCAGTCAATCTTTCTGATCGTGCCTTTTCTGGCGGTAAGCATGTCACTGCTGCGGCTCAACTGGTTTCCTGCCACGGTCTTCGTCGGCGATACATATTGCTATTTCGCAGGCATGACCTTGGCCGTTGTCAGCATCATTGGACATATCAGCAAGACGATGGTTCTCCTATTGATTCCGCAGATTCTGAACTTCTTATACTCCTGCCCACAGCTGTTCTCCTTCATGGGCATTCCGTGCCCTCGGCACCGAATGCCGGCCTACAATGCCTCGGATGGGACAGCTCCTTGGCATGTGCTATGTACAAAAGACTGTATCTGTACCTAGCCAACCAAAAAATATGGGAGTTTCCCAGAATGGGGGACCCTAATATATTACCCTAAATAGTAGGATCCTTATTATAAAGACCCCACAAGAAGGTACCCCTAATTTTCGGAAACTCCCATATGGCCCGGTCCATCTGCGCTCTGTAAGCTACCCTGGGGTACTCTCGGCAGAGCCCGCCTGACAATCCTCATCTGCTCCCGAGTCAGATCTTGGTTACAAAACCCTACCTATAGTCTCCATTGTAGTTCCTTTTTTTAGTTAACCAAAATCTCTATTATGGGATCCTAACCATAGAACTGGTTAACTTTATCAAAGGAACTACAATGGAGACTATAGGTAGGGTCTAAGGTTCAGGACTCAGGGTTTAGGGTTTAGCGGTAAGGCTTTTGGACCTAAAGGCCATATTATACAAGGCTTTTGGGCCATTTTGAGCCTTAGGGAAAGAGCGCCAATGTTGCATTTTTCCGAAGGTACGTCTTGAGTTCAATAACTTATATACCCTACACTACTCACCAAAAAGCCACGAAAAAGAGACACACAAACCCTAAATCCGCAAACCCTGCTCCGCGTCACACCAGGTGTGCAACAGCTACGCCGAGTTCAAACCCACTGAGCTGAAGCCGCTGCTGGGTCCTTGTTAATTGAAGGATTTAATTCAAGTTACCACAAATATGGACCTAGAAGAGTTCCTTCAAGGGCTTTGGGTTTAAGGTTTAAGTTACCAGAAATAGGGACCTACAGTATTTAAATATACTGTTTGGTTTCTCTAGTATGGTAACGTGAAATTACACCCTCTCAGCATAGCTGCTCTTAGAGTCTCTAGGGTGATATATTAAGGTCCCCTATTTGCGTCATTTTTTAGTACATCCTTTGGCAAGAGCCCAGGCTAGGGCGCTTGGTCTTCACAGTGCTGAAGTCTCTGCAGCCTTGGCAAAGCTTAGTTAAGCGTGTAAGGTATTTCGGCTACTAAACCCTCGCAGAATTGTAGGCGATGAGTTGTCTATGGGGTACGAATTATTATTAAATGAGCAGTTAATCGAAGGCACAGCCATTTTTTCGAGTTCTTTGAGGCTTAACGGAACCCAGCATGCTTCGACAAGGAGTGCTGGGAGTCTTAAGGTAGGGTGTAGAGAATTTAGGATAGAGGGTAGCCCTCGAACCTCGAGCCCTAAATGGCCCAGATCACGGCAAGTTTGGGACTCTTTTACGGCTTGGAGCTTGGGGTTAGAAGTCTGTTTTAGGGATGCAGGGAAATTGTCTTACTTCGGAAAAGTGCCCCAACACCTTGCGCAAGGAGCTGCTCGATTGAGCTTCGAGCCTTAAGCCGTAAATGTGGTCCATGCACATATTTCTTAGCTCAAACCGTCAACCCTGCTCATTCCCCGAGGGTCCATGTACCTAATCACTGGGTCCTTTGCACCCTTAGGGTCTCATCTCGATCCAATAAAGATTTTTTTCAGGATTGCCATGTTTGTTCGTTTGTTCGATTTGTTGGTGGTACCTGGGTAGCCACTTCCGTATGGAGCAACAGGCCCTCAAAAGTAGGGGCCCTATGCCTACACCGATCTCTATAAGGTATATGGGAGGTTGTCAAAATTATGGTCCCTTTTCTTTGGGCCCTTGTTATAATACGGCACCTAATATTTAGGGTACCCAAAAGGGGCCATAATTTTGACAACTAACCATAACCCTTTTAGGGCTCATTTCCTCTTTGAGGGTTGCTGTTTTGTATCCTGCCAGAGCACCGGGGGCACTCCGAAAACCAGGGTCTAAGTACCTACGGACCTAGAGGCTCCATAATCGTGCGTAGTTCCTTTTGGGGATATCACTTTATAGGTTCCTAAATAAATACATAAATAGGTATATACACATATATATGTATATATATATATATATATATGTAACAGCCACAAAAAGGAGCTATCATGAAGCCTATGGGTAGCTACAAGTTAAGTAGTTCAGCGGCCGAGACATCTCAGGAGGCTGGTGCACCTGAAACCTGGCAAAGAGGAGGGCTCCGTGATGATGAGCAACCTCACTCTTATCAACTTCGTTCTCTATGTCCCTGGGGCTTACCCATAGGCCCCAAAGTAATTCGTTTTGTAGATTACGTTATAGGATTCTAAATATGAACCCCCAAAAGGAAGTACTTTGGGGCCTGCGGCTTGGAGATGAGGTTACGTGTAGACTCAGTGTAGACCCCTCCTACCATATATCATGAAAGAGATGATCATGGGAGCCTTAAAGCAAAAGCCCGGTAAGGAAATGGAGGTTATTAATCAAGGCTCTACATCAAAATATATTCCCTGGGGTTGTGCTTCTGCTCAGGTTATGGGTTAAGGGGTTCGCAAGGCGACTGCAGGCGGGCAAGGACGTTTTTTAGGCGGTTGGGGCCAGGTTTGTCTGGGCCTGGCCACCTCGAGGGTCGGCTTGCGGTAGGGATCGGGGTTTGAGGGACAGAGCAGGGGGTGATGAGGGTTGTGAATTTATCAGGGCAACACAGAAGGGGGCAACACTTTGGAAAGGCAAGACCCGACCCTTCGCCCGAAGTTCGTCGAACCCCGCCGGCGTTCGCCGAACCCTCGCCGAACACCTCCCCTCCTTCGAACCTTTATTATTAAATTCTAATATTATTAATATTAATTAATACTAATAATACTAATAATAACTAATTAATATTCATTTAATTATAATTAATATTAATATTAATATTAATAATACGAATACTAATATAATACTAATAATACTAATACTAATATAATAATACTACTAATAATAACTACTAATACTAATATTAATGCTAATACTAATTTGTTTAATACTAATACTAATAAAATCCTAATACTAATGTTACATAAATTATTATTATATTTAAATTTATTTAAATACTAGTACTTATGATACTGATATTTCAATATAATTTGTAACAACAGAACTAATAATACTAATACACTAATTAAATTAGTAATTAAATATTACTAATACTAGTATTATTAATGATGTATTAAATACAAATATTTATTAAGTCTCATATTAATAATTTTAGTAATATTTATATTCAAAAAATACAAAGGTGAAATTACAATGAATGTGAAAAACTAATAAACTAAAAAGTATTAGCAATAATGTGCATAATTTAACCTTATCACGAATGGCTCATAGTATAATAGATTTGCATTCGAAGACTGAATGGCTTGTATTCTTAGTCATAGATGAACAATATGGGAACCCTGTCATGAACAATTAACTTGCAGAATACTTGTTAGTGTGCTGTTCAGAGTTACTAATTGATAATCAATGTCCATACAGGCCATTGTCAATAAAGTATATTGTTTGTTAGCTATTTCTTATTATTCAATTTGTGATACTATCGCTAGTGGTAACAATTTAAACAATAATTTTTAAATAACTCATCATCAGCACACTATTTCTCACAGGGGCCTGCCTATCACCGGTACGATCCCAATTCATATTCTAATAGTATCAATAATAAAAAACTCAGTTTCCTGATTGCTTAATTTGGACGCAGAACATGTGTGTCCTGGATATGCATCTATTTTCTTTGAGTGGTTCTGTATAATAATTAAGCAGCTTTATGAACTTGTGTATGATATGATGTCAACACTAATCAAAACATACTGCCGTATAAGTGATGAATAATTAAATACACACTTTGACTTAGCTAGATTATTCGTGGTTTTGCTTGTTGTAACACTGAATACTGGCTAACAAGAACAATAGTACTATTTTATAATCAGCAGGTTTCAGCAAGATTGAGTACAATAATATCACGATCATCCCTCTGCTTGTAACCAGAAAGAATAAACAACAGTTGAGTCGAAAGAACAAACTTGACAATAGTGTAGCCAGAGGCTTAGGCAATTACATTGTTACTAACTGTTAGCAGCATAAAGAATGTAGTTAATAGCAACAACAAATATGAACACATATAGATACTCACCATCATCATCGTCATCATAATCATGCGTGCTGCTGTGTCTTTTTGTTTTGGGAAGGGGGGAAGGTTCAGTCAGGGCAAGACTTCGGCTTCGCTGCAGTTGGGAGGGTTTGGGGTTTGCGAGTCTTGCAGGGTTTGGCCCGAGTCCATTGTAAGAACCCTATTCCCAAAGACCCGAAAAGAAAAGAAACCAACCCCACCATGCAGCCCTCCTGAAGCCGCAAGCCCAGCCCAAGCAAGAGAGCATTCACGTCTTGGACAAGATCATGGTGATGCTGGGAGCCCGGGCAAAGTACTCAGTGAGGGTTTCCGGGTGAGCGCCTAAGGATTCGGGTTAGGAGTTAATGGGCCGACCGTGAGGTCGTGCCCGGGTCTAGGAGTAAGATTTACGCTAGCCGGGTCGACCGGGAGGTCGCGCCCGTTTTTGCAAGACGTCCATCGGACGCCGGCCGTGAGGTCGTAAGAACAGCGGCTGGGAAGCCGAGTCGTAATACGGCAAGAATTAGCAAGACGTCCATTTGGACGCCGGCCGTGAGGTCGTACGAGTAAGAGATAGCAAAGTCACTATATGGAGAGACGGTAGGGAGTAAGGTGTAAGATCAACAGACGTCCATAGGATGCCGACCGGGCGGTCGCAAGATTAGAAAGGAGGGTCAATGCAGAGTAAGATTATTCTTCCAGCAAGCAACTAGTTACGTCGTATTGAACTGATATTATTGGCCATTGGTTGATGGTTGTTGGGTTGAGTAGTCAGTGTTACAGTGTATAATAAGACTGTGATGTGTTTCTTGATGTGGGAATTTCAGGGCAAGACCTAACCCTGCCGAGAGCGTAAGAACCGATGACGAACGCCCCCTGATAAATACGGAGCTTCCGCAAGCTTTGAATGTAAGTCGTAAGTGTAAACCGAACCACCCTCTCCCGCGCAAGATTCCGATTTGCTAGCTGCCCGAAGCCATCAGACTTGAACTCTGCCTGACCTCAGACCCAACTCCGAGCCCTAAACCGGGACCAATCTCCAAACAGGCAAGAACATTTGTAA